TTTCTTTAACTGAAATACCAAATAGTTTCTTTGGTGTGAAAAACTATAATAGTACACAGGATCCTAATGAGACAATTAATAATGTGAAATAGGAAGTAAAGGGCTAAAGGTGTAAGGAAAGTGGGAAGGGTGGGGGAAAGGTAATAAGGGAGAGGAAAAAAATATGAGAAACTGAAAAAATGGAAACAAAGTGTTTGTAAATGGGGAGGGGAAGAGGGGGTGAAGGAAGGGCAGGGACAAGGGGAAAAATGAGACTCAAGACCTGTTATGTAAAGGTACAGAATCCCAATGATGAATATAACTGTATTTGTATACCTAGATTGTACCAATATCCTCAATAAAAAAGAAAAAAAAATTCCCCCCCAAAAAATAAATCCAACATAGAATATTGTCATATTTATTTTAGTAGGCAGTCAGCCCAGTTATGTTCAGATTGCAAATTCCTCTGGGTTTTGGCTACATCATCAGTTGAGTTGCCAAAGCTTTTACTGTGTAGTTTGGCTCTGTCCTCTTTGTGCACCATCCATCACCAGTCTGGAACTTGGTGAGTTGTCTGTCCTGTAGTTTAGTTCTCATAGCTTCTGGGTGCTCATTCACGTGCTACTGAGGGTGAGTCTAGGAGTTAAAGAACAACTTCGAGGTGTTTGAGGTGTTGCTCTCCCAGCTCCTGTCTGTGATCTCCCAGTCGTCTCTGATTCATTAGGGCTGTATTCCATTCTCTGATCAGAAGGGTGGGACTTTATTTGTCCCTCTATAATATGCACATGTTCAGCTACGCCCAACTCCTGGGCCAAGTGGCTGGAGGACAGAGAAAGAAAAAAGCAGTAGAGATTCACCATTCTTTTTGGAACCATAACTCGTCTAACCAAAGAGGAAAATTCTCCTCCTTCAGAGTTTTGGACTCCAGATGAACCCCACTGCCATGTCTACCACCAGTGCCTAGCTGAGAATGGAGAATGAGAAAAGGTAGGAGATTTCCACACTCTTCTGAGTGCTAGAAGACCTGTTTTCCTCTCCTCCAGTCACAAGGAGAGAGAGCTTCTCTTCAGGCTTTCCATGTGGGCTGTAAGGTTCTCGGCAGAGGGTGACGTCAGAATGGAACAGAATGGCAACCTGTCATCACTTGGGGTGGTGTTTCAGGTTTTAGACTTCTTCAGCCTTCTTGCTACTTCCTTATCAGAGCTCTGCAGTAGCTGCTACAGGCCTGCTAGCTGCATTCACTTGAGAGACACTGAAATGTTATTGCTTCATCTCATTTGCCCCTGGATCTTGACTTAAAAGTTTTTAATTTTGTTTCTCTAGGAATTTAACAAGAAACTGAAGTTTTGGTTCAAATATACTTTGAATTGAAGCCAGAAATGTGCTAGGCTTTAGATTCTTTCATTTGATTAAGGTAAGATTATTTAATAAAATGTACTCATACTCTTACATTTAAGGCTTATATTTTGATTTGTGCTTTAACACATTTTAATTTTTCAATCTAACTGGAGATTCCGACCTAAGAAAATATGTTCTTGGTTTCTTTACTGTTTAAATAGCTAATGTTTCTTGTATAAACTACCAGATGCAAGGGAGTGTGATTTACTGAGGATGTTATATATTTTAAAAATCAAATCTATTTGTCCAAAGTGAAGATGGCAAACTGTGGTCTGCAGTACCTGTGTAGGTAAATAAAGTTGTATTTGTCACAACCAGTCATTACTTATCAAGTGTACTTCCTTAGCACTATAGTGGCAGGGGTCATTAGTTGCAACAGTGTCTGTATTGCTCTCAAGCCTAAGATCTGACCCTTTAGAAGTTTGCTGGCTCTTTTCCTAGGAGCCTGAATTAGGGTGCCTCCTCTTCTGTGTAATTACAACACATAAAATGATACCTGATTTTAGTTGTCAATAGGAGTTGTCGTATAAAACTAATTAGAAAATTCAATATACATATGTATGTACCTTCACCAAGCTTAACATCCCAAAGTGAAAGATGTGTATTATTTCGTAGACGTGGTATTAGGTTTCAGAAATAATTGACTTTAAAAATAAAACAGTGTTGTGAACAGTTATGTGCTAAGTATCCATTTTTAAACAGAACTGTCCACTTGGCTGAGATTTTTAAAATAAAAATTTATGTGATAAAAAGCTGTCTTGTTCCTGTTCTTAAAAAATTTTCCCACAAATTAATTATATTTCATCTTTCCTAGTAAATTTAAAAGTAATGATTATGTGTTCTTTGTATCTGTCTTACTAAAATAAGCAGTTTACAGTATGTGAAGTTTTAAATGAGAATATTCTAATACAAGACTGCATTTAGTGGTTAAAGTTGGTATGTGCTTCTCTCTGAGATGTAAACTTAACCACTTATTTCTCCTGAATTATGCACTGGCGGATTAAACCAACCTTGAAGCAATAACATTCACAAAAACTTTGTACAGACTTAATGTTCTTGTGATTATTTCCCCAAACAACACACTGTAACTCTTGACAGCATTTACACTGTTGTAGGCATCACAAGTAATCTAGAGACGATTTAAAGTGTATAGAAGGATGAATGTGTGTAGTTTTAAGCATTATACCATTTTATATAGGAGACTCAGCATCTGCAGATTTCAGAATCTCTTGGCTGAAGAAAACAGCCTATTTTAAAGTGTGCCAGATAGAACCTCCAACTTATATCAAAGTAAAAGAATTTCTCTGGAGTCTAAGGCAGAAGAAGAACCACAAGAAAAACAAGCTTCTGTGATGTTCATTTTGTAAAAATCATTTGCTTTGAAAAACAGCCTCTTAATGTCATGCCTAAGTTGAGATATGTTTGTTGGGTTTATTTTTTTTTTCTGTTTTTTTTTGGGGGGTGGTACCAGGAATGGAACTCGGGTCCTTGTGCTTGTGAGGCACGGGGTGGCACCACCAAGCTAAATCTCCAGCCCTATGTTTGGTTTTTTTTAATAGACTTGTATAAGGTATCTTTCTTTATTTGTGTCTTAGGAAGCAAATTTAAAAACTTCTTAATCTTTTGCTTTTAACAGGGGACATATGGAAATGTATCTGAATGGAAGCACTTTATATCTTTTTATACTATCATGTATTTTATATTTAAGTCATGCGCTTATAATTCAAATGCTGCTTGTACATTTGGAGTATGAAAGATAAGAAAGTGGTAGAAGAAGGAATGGGAATCTCGATATGTTAATGAGGCCACCTTAGCATTTTATGTTTAGCCTTGGTCTAAACTGAGTTTGGAGAATATCTATCTGATTTGTAGACTGAGACTTAAGAGTGAAATAAGCTTACTATGAGTGAATAAGATTTCCTTTTAAATGATGACATTAGAAGGTACTGGTAAAGTCATCATTTAAAGCATTTTTTAAAAAACTTCCTTGATTTATGTTTCAGTTTCACTTAAAAGAAGGAAAATAAAACTTCAGGAAAGTTCATACTTCGATATTTTTTCTAATATATAACCTTAGGTTAGTTAGATTTGTCTAGTTCATCATAAAAATTTTCACTTTAAAAATCAAGAAACTGGGCCGGGGATTTAGCTCAGTGGTTCTGCCACCTGCCTTGCAAGCACAAGGACCTGAGTTCGCGCCCCGGTACCAAAAAACCCCGAAAAAAAAAAAAAAAAAAAAAAAAAAAAAAAAAAAAACCAAAAATCAAGAAACTGATTTGTTGGTAGTTTGAGTTATCATTAAATTTAAATTTGTGTGTGTTAAAGATGGGAAAAATTTTTCTCTAAATTCAATATACAGCTTGTCTTTTAGAATATATGTGACTCGTTTGAAAATAAGCCTCCAAGTTATCCTCACAGGAGATACTGTAGAAAGCTTCCTTTGCCTGACCAACATGGGGCATTTATAAAGAAACTAATATTTTTAAAATAATGTCTTTTGTACAATAATTTTCTACTCAGTAAAGAATTTTTGAAGAAACAAAAAGTTTTTTCACAAAGTTTGCTATCAAAGGAATATACACGTTTAAAAGAGAAGGATAAAGCCTGTGGTTTTATTTAATCTTTTTTCCTAAGTTTTTGTTTTTACATGTACAGCTAAGTGGTAAACATAGTGCAGAGTTTTTGTATCTTTTAACTCAGCTTCCTTTCATAATATCTTACATTGTGTGACACAGTGATCAAAACTGACTTACTAAGGCTTAGTTTTTCTACTAAGTCTTTTGCTGATTCCTGTTACATTTAGTTACATTTTAGTTACTGGTGTTATATTTAATCCTTTTCCTCAGTCTCGTGACATTTAGTTATCCTGCTACATCTCGTATTCACTTGCTTTCTTCCAGTCTCTGACATCTCATCTTTCTTTATCTTTTATTACTTGCACACTTTGGTTAGTTACTTTGCAGAATGTCACTCAGTTAAGATTCCTCTATTTTCTCATAATTAGGTTGAGGTTAGAGATTTTGGGGAAAAAACATACCACAGAGGTCATGTGTGTTTTTCTAGCACATGCATGAATTACATGACGTACATGACGTCTGCATGTGCTGGTACTGATGATACTAAATGATAGTGGTGTCTGCCTGATTCCTCCATTGTAAAGCTCTTCTCTCTGGAGAAGACATTGTGAGGCTCCACAAATATTGTTTCTCCTTAATGTTACAGCCACTCATTTTAGCATTTATTGGTGGGTCTTGTCTGCAGCAGCTGTTGTTATGATGTTCTTCCTATTCCACTCATTCTTTCTTCATTTATCAATTATAATTTTACTAGAAAGTAGTAGTCCTTCTCCGCATTTATTTAATCACTTATTTATATCACAGTGAACTGATGAATATTCTCTGGATTAGAAACAATATTATTGTTATCTGTTTTGTTATTCAAGTTGTTCCAGCCACTGGAAAGCCATTTAAGTTTGCTTTTGTGTCCTTTCATCATATCTTGTCTTTTTTAAAAAAACAATTTCTGGCTCTACAAGACTCATTTGTATTTTCCCCACTCAAGCCCTCATGTCAGCCACTTATCCAGGGCACCCAGGTCCATGCAGAGCAATATTTATGACATCTGCATAGCACCTACTCTCATTGCTGCTGAGGTGTTACTACTTTTCTACCTTTAACTGTCAGAACTAGGAAGTGTCCATGTGTGTGCTGATCTGCACTACACACTTCTGTATTTCTTCTGTCTACTATCTGTAGATGCATTTAAAAAATTAGTTCATAGCAATACCTCCAACTCCACTGTGGTATCACAGAGGCTAGTCTGGCTTTCTGACTTTGCTTATCTGTTACTGGTTCCTCCCACAGGGAGAACACTGGCTCTCACTTTGTGCAGTACACGCACATTGCCTATAGAACTGCTAATGCATAGCACTGCAAGAATGAGTAGAGTGCAGTGCCTGTCTGTACTTGTTTTTAACCTTTATTCTTTTATTTTGTATTGTTTGAGACAGGGTTTTTGGCCATGCAGTCCAGGTTTCCCTTGAATTCACTATATAGCCCAAGTTTGCCTCAAACTCATGGAGGTTCTCCTGCCTGTCTCCCAGATGCTGGGATTACAGGCATGTGCCACCACACATGGCTTCTTTTATTCTTATATCATCCTGCCAAATCCACTTTTGAAAGTCCAGGGTTTTTTGTTTTTTGTTCTGTTTTGTTTTTTTCTTTTTCTCTCATTTCCCTGTCAGTCTGCTGTGTTATTCATTTGTACTTTGGTTAGTTACATTTGTCACAGTTTATATTTCATCTTGAGTCTTCTGGACATCCAGGTTATTTTTTTGCTTTTAGTTTGTGCATGGTAAGATTCACTCTGTGTTATAGAGTCCTGTGGGTTATACAAAATGTATAGTCATGCATCTACCAACAACAGTGCCCTAACCCAAAATTCCCCTGTGCTGCTGTGTTATAGTCCACCTCTGTCCTCCCTCTACGTAGACCTTGGCAGCCCCTGATGTGTTTTCAGCCCTTTTGTTAGCCTTTTCCAGAATATAATATAAATAGAACCATACAATATCCTACCTCATAAATCTGACTTCTTTCACAAAGAAAAATGCACCTATCTCAATCATTAGTTTATACTTTTCTGTTGTCAAGTAGTAATGCATTGTATATGTGCCACAGTTTCTTTATTCATTTACCTGTTGAGGAACATCTGGGTTGTTTCTAGTTTGGGCCAATCCTAAATAAGGGTGCATAAGTATGTGTATGTAGGTACTAGGAGTAGGATTATGGATTATTAGAAATGTTTTTAACCTGATAAGAAACTGTCAGATGTTTTTCCATTACATGTTGAATCTTAGATTCTCCACCACTAGTTTGTGAGAGTTCTGGTTGCTTTGAACTTTTCTCAACAGTTGTCAAGTTTGGCCTTTTAGCTGATTTAACATATGCGGTAGGTGATATACGTGGAAGTGTAGTAGTGTCTTAGTTTGCATTTCCCTAGTGACTAATGACTAACACC